TGGTATGCAATCATTGTACAGATACAATATATATATAAAAAAAAACATTTTTTTTCCCTAAAAAATTAAATCAGAATATTTTAGCATGATTGCGGATATAAATGGAATAAGAAATAGTATTTCTAGAAAATTCAGAAATTTTATTAATGAAATGAAAGCAATAGTTAATGGTGAAAATATGACTTAATTTAATAATTATGATAAATATTATAAAGATTACAATATAAAGACATATTGTAGCCATTGGTAAAAAATATTATTTAACAAAGCACAAAAAAGAAGGAATAGTTCCTAAATATTTCTTAGATTGACTTATCCAACTAGATAGTGCCTTTAACAATAATTTCGTGTTACACAACAAACGCCTTGGTTTTCATAGTATTGGAACAAAGCTCTTAAATTTAGATATTAAACATCTGTTATAATTATACATCATTATAGCTATTATCATTGGATATACCAAACTAACCTTATTAAGGCTTAATATCCTTTGATTAAGATTAACAAACATCAGATATGTGATATTAAGCCGGTTAAAGAAATATATTTGCTAATGATTACGGAAGTATTATATAGAACCTTGGATCATAAATTAAAAAGAAATATGTTTACAAAATATTTAATTTAAATATAAATATAGCCTTATCACAGTACTTATAATTATGGTACTAATAATACTAAAACAGTTATTGATAGCCCTAACATTTTAGAAAGCACAAGGTTAAAGAAAAATACTAATAATGATCTTTGGTATAACTATAATAATAAGCTACATAATAACATGTTGTGAATGAGTATGGAGGGAGGAGGAGAGGGGACAATGCTAACATTTTCGCTAAAAAATTAAATCAGAATATGTTAGCATGATTGCGGATATAAATGGAATAAGAAATAGTATTTCTAGAAAAATTAACAACTTCATGAAGGGAAAGAAGATGAATTGAAATATTATGGATAAACTTATCAAGCAAGATATAGATGGTTTTTTGAAATTTCGTAAAAACAAGCCAGATATTTGCATTTTAAAATCTGATAAATCTAAAAATGTTTTTACGAAAGCATGATGAAAAAATGCTCCAGCTCTTAAATAACCTGATTCTTATAAATCTTTAGAGAAAGATCCCCATACAAAAACCACTAACAAAATTAACAAGTATGTATAGAAATTGAATTGTAATAAAATTACTGATCAAACTACAAGAACCAAATCCACCAGATATGCACCAAAGAACCTTTGAAGCCCATAGTAAATATTATATTAGGGGCCCTTCATACAAGCTAGAATAGTTTTTCAAAACGTTTTTAGGTAATCTCAATAATAACAACCCTAGTGTGAATGTGTTCATATCTCACTATAATTATTATCCACGTATTAGATTGTTATATTTCTAAAAAATAAAAAAAACAAAAAAAAAAACTAATAACGACCCAGAAACTAATAAAACTCTTATGTAGCTGAAGATAATATTGCAAAATTAAAAAGCATTTGGGATAATGAAAGATTAACCAGTTTTGATGTGGTTTTCTTGTTCTATACCGCTGGCATTTATGTTTGAAATTATTTCTGATGAATGGGAACAAATTGAACCACCTACATCCATTAAAAATAAAGACAATTTTGAAGTTTTAAAATTAATATGTGAAAATAGCTTTTTTAAATGGAACAATTTATTTGCGAATAACTTGAAAAGTATACATTTTTTATTGTTTGTAATAATGATTATTTGAAGGATTACTGAATTCTCTAAAAATAAAAAAAATTATCAAATTCAAACCATTATTAGATAAGATAAAGGCTTTTGTAATTAGTAAACATTTTGTTTTAAAACAAGAATGAAATTTTATAACAACTTTATTTTTCGATTACAATTATCGAAAAAAATAGGAAATGATTCCTCCATCATATGATAGGTAGAATTATTTAATTTCGTTATTATTATTATGATTCGCATGGAACCACTAGTAATATTTATTATATATTAAAATATGTATATGTAATTTAAAAAAAAATTTCGATTTTTAATTGAGTAAAGTATTTAATTGAGAAATTAACTAGTATTCATAATGAGCCCATCTTAAATAATGGAAAAAAAGTAATTTTTTAGTGGTCCACATTTGTTTTGTGCGAGATCTAATTGTAAGGTAAATACTGAAACAATCACAATCTATTCATTTTTTATATTATAATGGATATCTCTAAAAGTATTAATACCCAAATAATTAATTTTTATTGGCCTTCCAGAACCACTAACATCCTTTCATAAAAGTAGTTGTTTTGTTTTTAGAAAAAAGAAAAAAAATGAGTCCTCCAAATTAAATCTTGGATCTACTAATGGATACCAATAAAGAGTAATTTAAGAAGTTTATTTTGCTTTTTTAATTTTATATAAAGTTTCCAGTATTTTCTAAAAATATATAAACTTTTTTATATATTTTATTAAGCTAATTTTACTTCTTGGCCCATTAACTTAAAGAAAAAGTAATGTAAAAAGGCTTTAAAATATATGAATAGAGGTAAAAATAAAAAGCTCTGATCTAATTTTACTATTAAAAAACAATAACATTGGGCTTACAATAGTACCAGTTATGAATGAGCAAGTGTACAAGGATGTAAGAGGCTTCAGTACGAGGATTTGTCACAGAGCGCGCGGCAACACTGTCTCTAAGTCAAAATTGCAATAATTCTCAATCAAAGTTTACACCACTATTCTGAAGTTTAGAAGGTTTGGAAATAACGACTCTCAATCACACGTTTATTATGGAAAAAGAGAAATATAAGAGAATTTCTGTAGAAATAAGATAAGATATTTAAAGTGAATAGATATAATAAATAACGTAAGTAACATGTTTTGCAGTTTTAACGGAATGTTTTGCAACGATTACGGAAAGGTTCTTTCAAATCAGCTCTAGCACTCCTATTGACATGGTTGTTTTTGTTGTTCATTGTTCAACAAGTTATCTCTGAGTCAAAGTCTTAATTATTCTCTCTCAGCAAGTGTATTAGTTCAAGGACATTATACTACCCACTAGTAGTTCTGTCTAGAAGAACGCTTTCTCATTAAATCTCCCCAATGGTTTTCAATCTTGTTACTCAAAGCAAGCCCCTTTTTTGAAAATAACCTTTTCTTCGGTACTTCGAGATGGTCAATTTGACATCGTTGTTTTTGTTGATCATTGCTCAACAACTCATCTCTGAGTCAAAGTCTTAATTATTCTCTCTTAGCAATTAGTTCAAGGACATACTACCGACTAGAAGTATTATATAGAAGAACCTCCTCAGTGTAGTTTTCAATCTGGTTTCTCAAAGTAAACCGCTTTCTTGAAAATAACCTTTTCTTCGGTATTTCGAGGCGGTCTCATGTGTCCCACCTTTTAGTTAAAGTGGATCTTTCTACCGACAATATTTCCTTGGATCTTATCTATGAAAACGATCAACATCCGGCACCCTTCCTACGTCTACAGTATCCTACACTTCACACCCGTGGTCCATTCCCAGAAAACAAGATCTCGTGTTTCCGACCTTTATATCCCTTCCCATTGAACTAAGACATTTGAATATTCCGTTAGTGCACTATCGACTGTTTCCTGGTATTCCTTGTCATATGATATCCTTCTCACATCCCAAAATGACGCTGTACAATGAAATAAATTTTATGAATCAAATATTGATTGACGGAAATGGTTTTTAAAATTGAGTTTTAATTTTAAAATCAGATTCTATTTTTCTTTTCATTGCAATAATGTTTATTTATTTATTTTTTTAAAAATAGTTTTTTATTTTTTATGTATTTCCACCTAAGATAATCTATATATATTCTTTTATTTTGATTAATGTAGTTTTTATCCAGATATGGTTTTGATTTTTGTTCATAATTGCTATTCTTAAGGGACCTTGTTCCAAAATGAAGTTTATTTTCTGTTTCAAACCTCCATTAACACCAGAAGACTTTGACACAGTCGACCATCCTTACCAAACTACAAAATATTCCTTTATCAAACAACTATGGGTTGCTAATGTTACAAACAAAGAAGAAGAAGTTTGTTTGTTTGTTTGTTTCGATGTCTAGGCGCAAAACATCCAGGTCATAAGCGCCCGATCAACTAAATAACATCACTTAATACTATTTGGATGGTTGGTACAAAAAAAAAAAAAATAATAATAATAAAAAAAAATAAAAAAAAATTAATAAAGAAATGGATTGATAGAATAAAATAAATAAATAAGGATAATAATAGACATTTATAGGTAATAAGATGTATAAAAAATGTATAAATAAATAAACTTTAAAAAATAGCAGTAGAATCAATAAATGAATTATTTATTTAAGATTAATAAACAAATGAAATTAAATTAAAATGAAACGAAATGAAATAAAAAAAAATAAATAAAAAAACTAATAATAAGAGAAAATAGAATAAAAAAAAAAAAAAAAATAGTAAATCTGCAAAGGATCATTAATTATAAGCCTGTCAAATGTGTTTTTTAAGTCTTTCACTATCCAGGAACTTGATGACTTTGGTAACGATTTCTTCTTGATTTCCCAGGGATCCTGATATATTCTGGGGTATTCCGAGATCTTTTAATCTTGCGGTGTAAAAAGGGCATTCTTCCAAAATATGTTTTATAGTTAGTGATGGGTTACACTTTTGACATCTGGGGATAGAATCATTTGTTATGAGGTGGAGGTAAGTCAGTCCAGTATGTCCGATCCTCAGCCGCGTGAGGACGACCTCTTCTCTACGATTGCTGCGTTTGGAGCTGGTCCACGGTTGCACCTCTTTCTTTATTTTAAATAATTTGCTAGAAGGAGAAGTTAATGATAAAATTACGCTTATTTATTTATTTAGTCCACCTTGTTCAGCGTCATTGGGAGTTCTTAATTGGTAAATAAAAAAGAAGAAACATGCATAACTAGGTAATGAGAATCAATATAGTGTTATAATTGTTAACCTTATGTAAGATGAATGAAAGATAATTTGTAATAAGCTAGAACTCCTACCAGACAGTAAAAGGGTTGTCCTCCTGTTCCTCTGGAGCTCGCGCTGAGCCCTCCTGGAGTCCCTCTGGGTCCTGGCGTGGGCGTTGAGGTAGGCGGCGATCTGGGCGTGGACCAAGCCGACCACCAGCGCCGGGATCACGGCCTGGACCATGAGGACGCAGGCCGCGTAGCCCACCTTGAGCCGCTGGCTCGACCACTTCTCGATGCAAGTCTCGTACAGCACCAGCTGGTTAAACTTTATCTCCTCAACCACCTGCGATACAATCTCGCTATAATAACCAAGAAAGCGATGGCTCGTTCGGCTACTCAATGCGCTACCATCATGCATAAGCAAAACAAGCAAAGCGGCACGTGTGCTGTAAAAAAACTATTACTACCATGCAGCACATTTATATTACATACAATCAGTCAATATGTTTCATATATCTATAATTATACGCGCAATACAATAAATGTTGAATAAATATAAATCAATATATTTTTCTTTTTAATATAAGTTTATTTGAGTTATTTTATTTACACCCTACCCTGCCGATAAGGCAATACGGGTGTTTGCAGTAGTGAGTAGCAACGCATTCGTTACAATTCACTGCTGCATTCAGACCAATTACATTTTTTACAGCTGTGCACACAGCCTGCTCTTTTTTTTCTTTTTATCCAGCATCCTCTTCCACCATCTCTGGCGGTCTTCCGTATACAAGTTCATTTCTTCTTCCCAATGAAAAGTGGTTTGACCGAACCAGTTCCTTCCACCCGTATACGAATGCCTTGTAATACGGGTATTTTTCCTTTGTCATAAGTTGAGGGAGATCGCTCTCCGTCAGAGCGTAGAGCCCCGTCTCCTTCAACAACTTAGCCCTCAGTGCCTCAAAGGCGGTACAGACTAGGATGATATGCTCGGCGGTCTCCGGCACTCTGCAACTTGGGCATAGGGGATCGATGTTCTTGCCATATTCAACGAGCTTTGCTCGGAAACCCCCATGCCCTGTGAGGAACTGTGAGACCCAGTAGTCCGGGAGAACCCATGTCTGTTCCACTCTTGACGTTTATTTGAGTTATAATACGTGTATAAAATTATGGTATTCCAAAACTTTATAAGCAGATATTGTTAACGCCCGACTCTACGCATTTTATTTTTCTTCCGATTATTATTTTTCTCACCATTAACCCCTTTTAAATGTTAATAAAAAAATGCTTATTTTTTTTAACAGCTAAAATATAATAGTTCAAGAAATGTATTTAACTTCATATTATTTATATATTTGGGTATCATTCGCAATGTTGTTCGCTTATTTATATGCACCTACTGCCCGGCAGTCATGGGGATTAAGACATCAAAATAATGCTATAATACTGCCGGAAATAATAATATATAATAATACTAGTCTGGGGCTATCTTTTGTTCTTGTTGGAAGTCTACCCCACCATTTTCACCCAGCTCCAGGTTCACCTCACCTCGCCTAGCGCCATTTTCAAAGAACAGCTGTTTGACGCATCGGCAGTCGTCGAACGATCAATTGGCTATCGATTCGATATTTCCCCACCAAAGACTGTGTGGCATCGAAAAGGTAATCTGGTTGGAAGCAGAACCTCCAACTTGGCTCGTTGTTTATTCTCACCATTACCTAGAACATTTAAATATTAATTTGATTTGTTTCAGCTTTACATTAGCTTTATTCTTTTTAACAGCCATTTATTTTCTCTTGGTTTTACTTATAATTTTAGAAGTTGATTTCATTTTTGTTTTATAAATAATTCTTAATTTGTTTATGTTCACTGAATATTATGTTTTGTGTTTTTTTATTTATTTCAGTGAATTTCATACCATTGTTTATTTTGGTTTTTAACTTTTGTATATACCTCTTTTATTTAATAATATAAATTGTATACGTTCAAAAGTGGATTTTTATTTTCCATTACTGATTTATTCAGTATTTTTATTTTCTTTATTATTTGATGTGCGTGCATTTTTTATGTTTTACAGGTCTCATATTTACTCCTTTTATTTTTTCTTCTTTCCCAACATTTAATTTTGCTCGAACTTTCTCACCTTGAGGAAACTCACCGGGGAAGGGTTTGTTTTTTAATTTTGAAATACCCCGGCCCCAACAGATATTATTTTCTTAATCTTGGTCTACAGTACGGGCTTCTTTCAATGTTCCGATCCACTGGAAGTAAAGGGCCTCAGAAGGACTCAACTTCCTTCCCGTCCGGTATTCCGTCCATCTTTTGAATACAGAGTTCTTTCCGAACTTTGTAACATTTATACCCTCATACAGATCAGCTCCCTTTTCAAAATTCTTTTATATTATCAATAATTTATATTATCTTTATTATATATAATTTAGATAGAAATAATGATACTTTTTTATCATCTACAATTAGTAATCATGTAGGCTCTAATTAGATTATAAAAATAATTAGAATTTAAATGTAATAAGGCTGGGATGTTTGGTTTTTAAAAAAAGGTTTCTTCCCTTGAAAATGAGCTGAAGTACTAAAACGTTGGTTGTAAAGTGTTAACCAACAATATTTAAAAACAAATTATATCGATTGTATATTTTTTAAGAAGTTGCTGAAGATGACGAATTGCCAAAACGTTCACATATGTGTGATTTGAAATAAAGTAAATAACGATTGTGGGACGGAAAATGATTTTTTTTTTTATTATTCACCATATTAAGAAATTAATAATCAATTATTTGTGAAGAAATATATACGAAAACGTCCGAAAGTAGATAGGTTTTTCGAAATGAAATATAATAAGAATGCATTATGCGCGAAGAGTGAGACGAAGTATACTGAATCCATAAGGCATAAGCATCCTTCAGGTAAACCGCAGGTGATGTCAACATATCAAGGGAACTGTGCGACATCAAATCATCGGAAAAGCCATTTTCCAAACAGAGATGACAAGTGAATTCCCGTCGGAACATGCCTGCCAATTTATCGTTCGCTACATTTTCTATTCTATCTGACAGTTAACTCCAACAATGTTGAAAAGAAGAATTCTTTGATTAATGTTTTTAATCTGTTGTTTATTGGGATTTGATGTCCTCATGCGAGCTATGATTTATAATGGGCAAACTGGAAACTTGCCAAGAGCGCCTAATATGAGTAGCGGTCGGATATGAGGTAAAAAAAAAAATGCACTAATCTACTATAATCGTTATATCACAGAATCAAGACCAAATAATAGTGTATAATGAGAGGCTAAAAATCGACAACTATTTATCCAATAAGAATAACTGTTTGTACCTTAATTAAGGCTGTAAAGGTGGAATGGTTACTTACCTGTAATTGGATTTATCATCTACATTGAAAAATGATACCCATCTTCATCTTGCCAAAATAAAATAGGACATTGTAATGCATCATATGATCGATGTGTTTTAGACTCATACTGCAGTTGATCGTTCCGCCAATAGAATACAATATCTCGATTTTATAAATTTTCACTCACGACGACAATAGCGACTTCATTAATTTTTGGTGCATTAAAACGTTTTGGGTGTTCTCCTGCTTCTTATCGGTTCTGATGACAATTTTGTGTTTATTAGATGTCATGCAGTCTCAAATTACGCAATCGTATAATTGGTCTTTTCACCGATATGTGCACAACGCTGATCAACTTCTTGTTGATTGACCCATAAAATAAATTTGCAAAAATTTGTAGTCACTATTCAGCGTTGGCTATAAGGAATAGATGTAATATAGCGAAGTTTTTATACCGCCATGTGGCAAAATATGTTGGCAGCACTGCCATTCCTCCATCAACTTCTGTAAACACGCTCACTTCTGGTTGCTTTTGGCAATTCAGAGCTAATAACGTATTTTAGACTATGGCATTTGAAAGCCGCCAATGTATTTTGCACCAGCCGCATTGCGGTAAAAGTTTATTGTTTACCATCATACTTTTACCCTCGTGGGATTCAGTTTCGGCAATAATAAATAGAATATTATTTATGTTTATTGTTTATTACGCTAGAATATGCCATTACTAGAAAATAAAGTAACATTATAAGAAATAATATATGTTTTACCTTCTCTCATCTTCTGCTCTAATAAACATGCGCAAAGATATTTTTCTCGATACACCAAAATCTAAATAAACAAAACGCACCTTTGATTTAGCCCAGAATTGGAAGGAAATTTAGAGATTGATAAAAAAATGATCAATGGTGTATCAATATCATCTAATTTTATCCACAACTGTCAAAAAATGCTTCCTCTTTCGCATCTGAGAAAGTATCATATTTTTAATTCGGCCATATTTTGAAAACAGGTCGTAAGATTTGACCCAGAATTGTAGGAAATGTGGAGAACAGTGTATCAATGGTCTAGTATCAATTTATAATGAAAAAAATCAATTAAATAAACTTGCATAAGATTAACCTGATGCTATCACCTCTGCTTCACGTTTAGAATATAGGGAGTTATTCTAGAGGTGGAGTAAGGTATTAAGGCCAGAGTTAAAAGCTCTCTCAGTACCGGGATACGAACTTGTAACTTGTTTATTTCCAATTAATCTCCCTGAAGGAGCAATTAATTTTATTATTACGAATCAGTAAATATACAAAATAAAATGTTGCCCAAATGCGAGACCGAGACGAGTTTCGGTCTTGCAAACTCAGTCTTGATCATGGCTTTGGCCTTGCGCGAGAGTCTCTTAACAGTCTTGCAATTACTTATTAGCTTATTGCTATAGAGATATTACTGTAATTTTTTACATAGGAGAAACTGATTAAGCCCGAATGAAAAATTAGAAGAGTTAAATGCAAAAGTATATATAAATAAAATTCACTGCAAAAGTATATAGTTTATACCAATTATTAACATATAGTAACTAAGATTGTCAAGCATTAATAACTATTTCGCCTTCATTTTTATTTGAAAACTCGATTTTTTTTACCGATCCTGGTCTTGGTCTTGCAACAGTTAGGCGGCCTTGGCCTTGGTCTTGCAAGTTTTTGTCTGATTTTCAATTTTGATTGGGTATAAATCGATATTAAATCATACTTTTAATATAAGGCGTGATTGTTGTGAACCAAATGCGATAAAAAATAGTTCTCATAAAATGAGAGAACACACGCGATGAGTGTGAATGTAGCAGACATGTGACAATTAAAAAAATTATAGACAATTCGATTGTTACCAAAAAAATCATATTTATAGTAGTGTTCTGAGATCGATCACATTCACACTATATATACAATAAATAAAATGAAGTAATCTAACTATTAAATTTATATTTATTTAAAAAAAAAACTTATTAATCTAACGCGCAAAGTTAAAATAGTTCTTAAGTTCTCTGAAATTATCGAATTTTCTTTATATTTCTTTCCGTAAGGAAATAGGGATTCATATAGATATAAAACCTTGGTATAAGGAACAGGAGGAGGAGAGCGTTGTGCAGAGAGGATTGGTGCAATGCAATGTCAGAGAAGCCAAGGCACAAACCGGTCTATAGAGCTACGTAGTAAGTAAGTAATCATGAAATTTGAAACTGTATAAATTAAATATACATCTAGTAAATTTGTACACAGAAATAGAATAGCATGGAAAGAATTGTAGAGATTCTACCCATTAGAGCACTCTAATAAAGTATCTAAATTAGGAGATTAGGAGTCCATCTTCTTTTAACAATACTCGGCGGGAGGGGGTGGGGAGGTTTATCAGGGATCAAAGAAGAAGCAAGGTTAGGAACGAGAGGATTAGGATGGTTCTGGAGTTTATAATAGAAAGATAGATATCTGAATTGGGCCGATTGGGATATATAGGGCACATTAAGATCGTTATGGATGATTTTATTTTTGACAAAGTAAAGAGCAATGAGGATTTTGGCTTGAAAGGATTGGATACCATAGGAATTCGATGGCTTAGTGGAGTTCCAAAGCTCAACTCGATATGTCCAAATAAGCCTTATTATAATAATAAATAACTATTTTGTAGTTAATAGGTAGTTCAGAGAGATTGTCTAGTAAGTGGCAGATCAGTCGGAAATTTCGAGCAGTTTGTTGTCTTTTTAGTCTGGTATGAGGATTCCAAGTTAAGCTTTTGTCCAGGTGCAATAATAAGTATCAGGTTTGTTGAACAGGGATCAAGATTATATTAAAACTAGTAGGCCCGTGCGAAAAATTCGCACAGCATATTTTTATCAAAAGCCAAATTAGTAAGAAAATAAATAAATGCAACGTACCAAAAGATAAAGAAATCAAATGATAAATATAATCGACAAAGGAAACAAAAATTAATCCAAATCTTCATTAATGTGTGGAACCAACACGTTTACAAATTTCAATAATCTGTATCTTTGCTAAAAAAATTCTGAATTCGATGATTTTTTTTCCTTTTGTAGGGAATTTAGTAATCTTTTATATAATCATGGGCATAACCCAGGGAAAAATGTGTATTTTTTTAATTAATCGCAAATAAAGTTTGTTTTCTTTCATAACTTGTTTGTGTGAATTTTCGGGGTTATTGGACTATTTCGCCCGTCTGAAGGAGAAGGAAGCCTTCGATATTGGTGGCTTAATCTTGAGATTTGGTGAAGAATTAACAATGTTATGGTTTGTCGATCAAGAACACAATCGATAAATAATATAAACTCCTCCGTTCTCGATCATAGAGGCCTCAAGTCGACGAAATGAGACATGTATTCAATAACATTACTACAATCAAGGTAAGATTGAGTGGATGCGAACACTATGCCTTGTGTTATCTCGAAAATAGTACGTTTTTTGGCTTAAAACGCAGGATCCGATAGTTTCGATGTCTGTACGCATCAAAATCTTCAAGGTCCAATTTGTCCCGTACCGATCTACAGACCTACCACCATTCCAGTATTAAAGCCTAGCAAAATGTTTATATAGCCTTTATTTATTTTAGAAAGAAAAACAAAAGTGGAGAATACGATTCGCTAACCTCCCCCGTGAAATTCAGAATCCAACGGTACCCCATTCATGGAATTTGAGCATGACAGGAATTTATATTTGGCTCAAAACTTATTTCGAGCCTTACTGTAATATTATATGTGGGGATTACGAAACTTGAAACATTTAAAACAATTTATATTTAAAAATTAGACTAGTACTATTTAGATATTAGTCCATAAGTGACAGAAATGATATGTTTTAATCATGAATGAAAACATAAATTTTAATAAAATATGATGTCTAACTAGCTATTTATTTATAATACTGGCTCCAAAAGACTAAAAAAAAATCAATATAATATCCTGAATCTTGGCTTTTAAAAGATTTCAATAGGTTAAAAGACTATTAATTACCATAAAATGTAAGATTGAACCAAGCTATTTTAGGGTCACGTTCAAAAACTGTGTGTGTGTGCAACAAAGATACTCCTTTATAACCTGAATACATTTGAATAGTTTTTGCGTTTTTAAACGTTTAATTATGCTGATTTAAGAGTTTCAGGTGGGTTTTAAGAAATTATGCAAATGTGAACGGCGAGGCTTGATGAAGATGGAAAGTACCCCCATCACAATAATAAACCGTTCCACCTATCATAGTTTCCTTTGATGGCAATCTATTAAAGTAGCATCCATATGGAAATCTATTAGTGGATAGGAATAAAGAAATTAATTACGTCAGTTCATATACACGCCAGGTTCTCACCTGGAATGGATGAAAAAGATTCTCCTCTTCAACAATATATTTTAAAAACACCACGATAATCTATGATTGGAAAGCGATAAAATATTCTAAAAGAAAAGCTACATCCAGGTGGATAGTTATATATTAACATAGATGAATATGGCGCAATGTACCGAAAGCTTCTTGAAGTGATAGTAATAAATATTAGACTGTTTAAAGGGTAATTTAAAAAAAAACTTAATATTCATAGGGGTAGAATAGGGGTTTTACACTACATAGATTAATATCCAAAGTGTCCCGTAATTTGATGAAAATTTTTATAGAAGTGATAGCAGACCTCAACAGCGACAATAAACTTCATATTAACAACGGGCCAATCATCAGCAGAAAAGTAGGAAATCCTAGTTACCATGGGGTGGATATGAAGGATGAGGCCAATACACTGTTCAGACATGGCTGGCTACGAGGGCAGTCGATGACTTTACTACGCTTATATTATTATCGAAATCTTATAGGCCAATGAAAAGAATTATAATGTACTGTAATGGCAGGCAAGAGAAAGTTTTTCTACACCACATTCAATATCTCAGGCTTTCATAATTGCAACATCGCCTGAACCAAGCAAGAATATATAGTTTTCTTTATAAGAAAATTTCAAAACACTACAAATACCTTTTATTTCAGTCAGGCTTTTTGTATATGCTGGATACTTATGTCCCACGGCATTGTTAGATTTTCAAAAAAACTGTTCAACTTCATAAAAGAGAACAATTAGTAATGCTTTAAAATTAAATTCTACACACATGAGAATATGAGAACTTTAATTATGATGTACTCCGTATATTGGGGCTAGGGATATTTCAAAATTAAAATACAAACCTTTCCCCGATGAGTTTCCTCAATGGTGGGAAAATACGAGCAAAATTAAATGGTGGAAAAATAGTGAAAATGAGACCTGTAAAACATTAAAGAAAAACACATGCACAAACAATACCAAATAAAATTACTCAATTAATTAAAGATGTTAAGATAAGTAAATAAAAAAAACCCTTCTAAATGTTTACAATTTATTGAATAAAAAAGAGATAAATTTATAAAAAAGTTGAAACAAACAATGGCAAAAAGTTACGAGAAAAAATAAAACATAAATATATCAACTTAAAAAACCATTGTTTACTTTACTATGCCAATCCCTTCCAAGGCTGTCAGGGATATTGTCATAATAATTCCGCTTTGAGAGCTGGTGCCAATTTATTGCTGTGGACTGTAAAATTAGAGGAGTTAATGGATTATAGAAGTGAATATTTAAAAATTGATTGCTATATTTTATTACATGTAGTTTTATACGGAGGTTAAATATAGGTGGGTTGAGATACTTGCATTTTTTCTTTTATTCTAGTTGCCAGTCTTCTTGTTCATCTTCCCTCTCTTCCTTTCTTGGTCCCTTGCCGGCCGCTGTAGGTTTTTACTCCATTTTCATCAAATCAGTGGATTAACGAATTTTCTAACTTGTCAATCTCTCACGCTACGTGAGCGTCTACGCTTCAATAATGGCGGCGTCACAATAACAACTGAGGATATGTATGCAGTATGTTGGAGATAACAGCTGTGATGTGGTTTCTTGATTTAATTCGAATTAAATTTAAATATGCATTTTGATGTGTTCCCTAAACAAGCCGCCCACCTAAATTAAGCTACGCTAATTTACAATGAAAACAAAAAGCGTTGCATAGTTGATGAAATTAAAATAAGCAATCAAATTAATTAAGGAAATTAATGATACTTGTAAACTTGTAAATATAATATAAAAGG